CTGGATTTTGTCAAAGGCCTTTTCTGCATCGATTGACAGGATCATATGGTTCTTCTCTTTTTTTTTGTTAATGTGATGTATCACGTTGATTGATTTGCGAATGTTGAACCAGCCCTGTATCCCAGGAATGAATCCCACTTGATCGTGGTGAATAATTCTTTTTATATGCCGTTGAATTCGATTTGCTACTATCTTATTGAGAAAAATCCTTTCTCTTCTAAAAAGGTTTTGTCATTGCCACTGTATGAATACAATATCCATATTTTGTTAGGTTAAACATTATTTAAGGTTAAGTCAATTTGACATTAAACTATGACTAGACTCTCTAAAAAGTACAGGTATTTCTCCCATAATAAGTTCTTTGCAGAAATTTGTTCTTGTCTAAATTATCTCCAATGTAATTTCCTAATTGTAGACTCTATTTCTCATTTTTAGTGCTCTTTTATCCAATATGACATAGTAATTTCAGATTGTCTAACAAATCTCTATTTTTAGTTAGTTGGTTATACTTTGAAATTTTTGGTAACAAATGCCCTCTTATTTATTAGGATTTAAAATTATTCATGATATTATTTACTAAACGCTGAATTAGTTTTTATATTGTGTTCAAATCCTTTGAAATATTCTATTCCTAGTAAATGTCTCCTTGCTTGTTCTGTAATCTGAATTTTAAAAAGCATCAACTTTAGCCTACATTTGGCTATTATTGTCATCACTATTTTTTTACTTCACATTCTCTCCTCAACCCCCTTTCATTAGTTTAAAGCCTAACAACTCAGTAACCTGTGTCTTTCAAACTCTTAGTTTTCCAAAGACGTGAGTCTTCTTTTTACTGTTATCTTGCTCAATCTCAACAATATTTAGCACAATTGATCACTGTGAGCAATGTGAAACATGTGCTCAGAGTAACCTACTTCAGCAACTGAAGGCTGTCCCTGGGGTGCAGAGTGTTGGGGGAGCCCCATTTGAAAATATGATGGTGGACTTCATTGAGCTTCGCTGGGTCCAAGGCTATAAATATCTGTTGGTCCTTGTGTGCACTTTCTCAAACTGGGTGCAACCTTCCCTGCTCACACAGAAAAGGCACATGAAGTGGCCCAACTTCTTCTAAAAGAAATCATTCCTTGATTTGGGATCCCTATCACTATGGGATCAGATAACAGGCCAGCATTGTGGCTGAGGTGGTGCAGCTGGTGGCAAAGGGTTAAAGATCACCTGGAAGTTACACAGGCATACTGACCCCAGAGCTCCAGGAAGGTGGAACGAATGAACTGAACCCTGAAGCTGCAATTGAGTAAACTTTCAGGAAACCCACCTACACTGGCACCAGGTGTTTCCAATCACTTTGTTGAAATTCAGATGTAGCCCCACAAAGCAGATGGGGTTCTCCCCTTATGAAATCTTTTATGGGAGCCCTCCCACCATTATCAAGGGCATAAATGGAGGGATCTAAATGAGATAGGCAATCTAACGCTAAGGCAACAGATATGGGCCCTTGGCTCTACCCTAACTACCTTACACTGCTGGGTTAGGGAGCAATTACCTGTGAGTCTGAGCACAGATTCTCACCCCTTTATACGAGGAGATGCTGTATGAGTGAATAACTGGAATGTCCAACTCCAAAAAACCCCTGTGGAGAAACCCATTCACTGTTATTTAGTCCACCCCTACTCCAGTAAAGATGGTGGGTCCCTGGATTCACCACGGCAGAGTGCAGCCAGCATCTTGAAACTGGTAGAGCATTCCTAATCCACCAACTCCATGCAAGCTGACCATACAAAGGAAGCAATCTGCAACTCCATAGGCTCTGGAAGACTGCAGCCCTGCTTTAGTCACTCCAGAAGCTGACTAATCTATGCAAGGCAGAAGCTTGATGGGCCAGTGAAACAAATGGACCGTCCTTATTTTCTATATCTGTTTCCTTACTGTGATGCACTGTCACCCCTTGTTTCTCTCTGTTAGTGTTATTCTTGCTCTACTTTTTGCGATAGGATTGGCAGAGGCCGCCTGGGAATGTGGCAAGAGGTTTCTGTTAGCATTCACCTTCCTTTTGTGGATAGGATGCTTTGTAGGTATTGGTTGCTTCTAATCTGGACCCCTTCTGTAGACCTAGATTCCTCATCATGTGACCCATGTATTCACAGAACCAGGTCAAGCCAAGGAGTCTATATTTAAAATATAGTTTTAAAAAACCTACTTTTAACTGTGTCTCCTGTGAATTCAATACAGATTTCCATAATCTGTGTTTGCCCTTCCACAGTCATTTTAATTATTTCCCATTTTTAATTTATTTTATTTTCCCATATTTAATAATTTAATTAAATTAAATATTAAACATATTT